CTCTGTATCGGAAATATTATTTTTCAATTTTCTTCGTTAAAAATCTTGTTCCAGGTTTCCCGTTTTAAAACTATCGTGTTCTCCACTGGAACAACTCAGAACAAAATTTCTAAGACCAGATCAAAAACCTAAAGGGTACTTTACTCTTCATCGGAAATATTATTTTCGGTAATTATGCATAAAAAGACCGCACTCGCCAATGACCTTGACCTTGACATATGTTGTCAAGGTCACCCTCCTGAGTGACCTTTAGAAGGTTTTAGCCGGTGGTCGTTATTTGTTAGAAAGTTATTAACAAAAAAAGTTTGGAGAATATAGCAGCTATTTTGAGTATTAAAAGGCATAAATAACTAATATATATGTCGAAATAGTTTACGCATACACTTGACGCGCGAAACGAGATGCCACATGGGTTAGATGACGCGCTTTAAAAGTATTCAACTGTTTAAGGCAGGCGTCTCGCTACGTGCTAGTCATGTGACTGTTTGTAGGTTTTCACGTTCAAAAATATATTTCAGGCAATTTTTGCTAAGGGAAAAATAATTTTATGAATTATGGTGTAAAATTTCATACGTGACAAAGTATGTTACTTTTTCCAAATTATGTGATTTTTCTCATTTGACTCCGTTTTGATCAGCTGATCATGCGAGTCGTCGAGAAAGATTACAAGTGAGAAAAATACTTTTTGATTGAATTTTGACAATTACTGAGAAAGGGTTTCAAAACGCATGACAGGGGTGTCAATTGGCTAAGAAAGACGAGCCCCACGAACCTGCAACTACAGTGATTAGCCAGCGGCATTGCCAAGTCTTTCCAACCTCATCTCGACCAAAAAATGTCTGCTCGATTACCGCATTTTCACTAAAATAAACTAAAAAATTAGCAGCAAAATCTCCGGTAAACTATGTTTTATGGTTGCATCGGATTCTTCGAAATCTAATGTACAAAAAGCAATGTTTTTTCTCACTTCATCTAATCGAAAAATGCGAAAATATGTGATTGAAACCATGATAGAGCCTTCTTTTTCTGGCCGTCTGTATGAAGTAATGCAAAATTTGTGATTTTCTAGAGTAAATAGTCGGTAAGGAGCCACAGAAAAAATCGACTGCAAAGCTGATCATATAATTTGATATAAAATCCGAAATCAAAAACTTTATCTAATACATGCCCTGACGAGACGACTAACTTAAAGCGCGTCACTAATCTACATGAGTTAAATGACGCGCTTTGAAAGTATTCAACTGTTTAAAGCGCGTCATTTAACCCATGTAGATTAGTGACGCGCGCGCTTTAAACGGTTGAATACTTTTAAAGCGTGTCACTAACTTGTTCCAGTGGAGAACACAATAGTTTTAAAGCGGGAAGCCTGGAACAAAATTTTTAACGAAGAAAATCGGAAAATAATATTTTCGATGAAGAGTAAAGTACCCTTTAGGTTCTTGTTCTGGTCTTAGAAATTTTGTTCTGAGTTGTTCCAGTAGAGAACACGATAGTTTTAAAGCGAGAAGCCTGGAACAAGATTTTTAACGAAAAAAATTGAAAAATAATATTTTCGATGAAGAGTAAAGTATCCTTTAGGTTCTTGTTCTAGTCTTAAAAATTTTGTTCTGAGTTGTTCCAGTGGAGAACACAATAGTTTTAAAGCGGGAAGCCTGGAACAAGATTTTTAACAAAGAAAATTGAAAAATAATATTTTCGATGAAGAGTAAAGTACCCTTTAGGTTCTTGTTCTAGTCTTAAAAATTTTGTTCTGAGTTGTTTTACGCGGTTAGAAATATGTTCTAGATCGACAGTTTTGTAAGTCATTTTGTTTACGAATAAATGGCCAAAAACTGTTATTTTTAAAATTTTTCTTTTTTTAATATCTCTTAAAGTTTTTAACCAATCGAACTAATACTTTGGAACAATGTTTGGAACAACTAGAACAATCTGTAGCGATAAAAAAATTTCAATTTTCGAAAAAAAAGGGGCCAGCCAAAAAAAATTGTTTTTTTTTTATTTTATTAAAAAACTGTTGGGAATTAAGGAATATTGTTTTGGAACAATGTAGTATAAAGTCAAAACAACCTGGAACAACTTTCAAAAATATGAATTTCAAAAAAGGGGGGCTAACTTAAATTCATACACTCCTATTCTTCCACACCATCACAGAGCTCCCTTTTTTTGGAAAATAAAAAAATCGGTAGTTCTCTTTTCCAGAACGGTTTGTGCACCCTTTCATGGCACACAGCGGCATTGTCACTAAATTTGTTTAAAATTTCACTTCTAAACATTAAATCACAAACTGAAACTAATGTAAACACCCGGGAACTTAACCTCGTCACACACTACTTTGCTCTACATATACGGACACTACTCATACACATATAAATCAAATATGGCCGAAAGTTGAGACCGCAGATTGTGACGAAAAATAGACCAGGATAGGAACACACCTTGTTTTATTACATCGGATGCGTTCGGAGAGCTCGCTACCGCGCTACCAACGCTAACGCTATTAATTCCGTTCATGGAGCCATGATAACCTCATAGAAGTTAGCCGGACAATTTCGACTTACGACATTTTTTTTTACGAATCGATTGTTAGTCGTTTGTTATTGATTGTTAGACCAATTAGAACGTTTGTTAGTTAATAGTTTTTACGTAATCACGAAAATAATTTTTAGTGTTAATTTAGCCGGTAAATATAGAATCCTTTACAATTTTTTATTCAAACCGTGGTCAATCGATGCGGAATCGTTTGTTAGTTCCGAATATACTAAGGGCCAAAGCACATAACATGGCGTAGCGATATACCGTAGTCCCCGAACTGACAGATCAGGATACGCCAAAGCTTGTGCGTTAGGGCCAAAGCACATATGACAGTCGTAGTCGTGGACGTAAGTAACGCACAAGCTTTGGCGTATCCTGATCTGTCAGGTCGGGGTCTACGACCGTCGTATATCGCTACGCCATGTTATGTGCTTTGGCCCTTACTTACATCCACGACTACGACTGTCATATGTCATATGTGCTTTGGCCTTTAGTAAAACGTTTGTTAGATCACGGTTTCGCTAAAAAAAGCAAAAAACTGGCTGCGTTCAGCCGAACCTCTGCTTAGCGAAGCGAAAGGTAGCAATTAAGTGTAATTGGCTGGATCCAAAGATAAGAACCAATCATATTCAGTTGCTACCTTTCGCTTCGCTAAGCAGAGGTTCGGCTGGACACGGCCACTGTATATCGTTTAGCTGCCGGAGAGTGGAGGTGAGACGTAGAATATGTGGTGGTTTCGGAACGCATTACGTAATAGTTTATTAACACGGGAAACGTGCTTAACCTATTTTCAATTTATTTATCAGATTTGTTTATGCTTAATACCTGGCTACATTTCACGTGCAAAAATATAAGTAAGTGTAAAATGCAAATTTAATTCTGAACTTAGTAAAAAGTATCCTTGCAATATGAAAGAGATATAGATTGCAAAAGTAGAGAGGTAACCTACTAAAGTTGTATTTGAACATATACATCAAATTACAGATTTATGAAATATAGAAATAAACTTATATTGTATGTACAAGTAGATATAAGTAATTTTGTCATCGTACGGAAACTTGCAGTTCAAACCAACCATAAAATTGTTTGCAGATGCTTGATGTCATTGATGTCATTAAGAGGTAGAAAAGCAGTGGAATACTTCATGCACTTCCAAGTAAGTTAGAAAAGCATTAGCGAAGCTACTTAATCTTGTACAAATCATATTAAAGTACACATTAAAGAAATATAAATATATTTTATCATTGTGTAAGGGTTGGAATCTGTCTTGGGACAAACGCAAAAAGAGAAGCCATAAGATGTCAAAGCGCTTAATCGAAACAAAACAGAGCATCAAGAACCTCGTCGTAGAGCGAGAAGCGGTGGCAGTCGAGCTGCATCATCTACGACCGGAATTTCCAAAGATGGCAGTTCAGGCTAACACGCTGATTATTATACAGAAGTTTCATTTTCAAGTTACAAATTTGATTTTGGACGTTTCAGAACTTTTATAATTTAATAACAGAAAGAGATAGTAGCAATAACTTGAAAAATATGTGTAACGCTGATTGACTATCGTGTTGTGAGGGCGTAATTTTCTTAACGTTGCCGCGCTATGAAAGATTTAATTTACCGCATGATTTAATTTATCCGTATGATATTGCAGATCGAGGACTGCGAAAGTAAGAAAAGTTTATAAGAATTACATTTGTAATTTATAGAACGTAAACATAGAAGAGGATACAGAGAGTAGTTCTGATTACATAGGTAAAACAAGTGACGATGAACACAGTGGGTGGTGGTAGCCAATCTGGAGCCAGTATGAAACCAGGCGATGATCTTGATACAGATAGCACATTAAAACGGATTCTAGAGCAGGATTATGACCTAGCTAATGAGTAATAAGAACAAGGTAAGCTAGTAATTAAATTTTAGTTAATATACATATATATTACTGATATAAGCTATAAAGCGTTTGTGCCGGATACATTTTTCAACAACTAAAAACTATTCCTGCTGTTTGCATTTTATTTACTTTTCATATTTAAATTAAAATTATACAAAAATTGTAATTTATGTTAAAAACTAATCTTTCACTGAAAACAAATATCATACAAATATATCACTGATATTTATTTCAGCTTATACTTCCGGCGCAACCTACTGTGATAAATATTCCAGAATCTCTGGCACAGCATTTCACTACGACGCAGTTTACAAATATCCCAGAGAAACCTTAACTCTCATATCGCAGTTTACGAATATCTCAGAGAAACTCTCTGATTGTGTCGATTAATTATCGAACGGAAAAAGGAAAATACAATAGCAATGTTTTTTTTACGTATCAGGATAAGCTGTGATTATATAAAAAAAGAAAGAAAAAAATAACGGAAAACAGAACCGAGCAGGAGCAGGATGCAACAGGATATCTGTATTTCTAGAAAGTCTGATTTTGTAAATTATTCTACGAGGAAAACACTTGTGTATTATATATATATATGTATATGCGGATATGCGATATACAATTTGATATGATATATGATCTATGACGTTTGTTTATTACTATGTAAAGTGACAGACTTCGAAATTAAACATTAATTACTGTTAATCGTGGCGTTTTGAATTTACTCTTTTTCTTTTTTTTTATCTAAAGCGGATCATAAGAAAGTGAGAAAATTGGAGACTTTTCATTGTCTTAAGCAATAATCTCGTTCCTGTCCATCGCCGTTGTTGACGTTATCTATACGCTTGCGTAATACCGGAATTAATGTCTTATATGCAAGAGTTGCAGAGAAGCTCTCAGAAATATATAAATCTAATACTGGTTGAAAGTGCTGGTACTTTCTATCGGATACGAGTCCGATAATATATAAAAGGCACTCAAAGACCATGTCATCGTAGACATCACTGTCTGAATTACTCATTAAGATATTAAATAAAGCATCCAAAACATCCTGGAACGTAATAATTTCAATATAATTTTCCCTTATAGAAACATTATTTTTTATTATGTACGTAATCTTAATTTTCGTTAAATCAGATTTATTTTACCTGCAGAAACTTCACTATTTCCTCCCCGTCAACTTTCATTGAAGCAGCTAAAGATTCTTTTAAGTCCGTATTGTGCGATGCTCAATTAAGTAAATCTAATAAGTCTACATTCTGGGTTAATTTAGTTGAGCAAATATTGGTCGCTATCAAAAAACTATCCGTAATGCTTAATGTTAGCGATCCTAAACTTGGCTTTTTTTCCATGTTTAATTCAATCTAAAACACAGACAAAAATAAAGAAAAAGTCAGTGATATATTTGTATAATATTTGTTTTCAGAGAAAGATTAGGTTTTAACATAAATTCAAATTATACAATCCTTGTATAATTTTAATTTAAATATGAAAAGTAAATAAAATGCAAACAGCAGGAATAGTTCTTAGTTGTTGAAAAATGTATCTGGCACAAACGCTTTATAGCTTATATCTGTAATATATATTAACTAAAAATTAATTACTAGTTTACCTTATTTTTATTTGGTAGATCTTGCTTGTCCTTCACCTCACTTGAATGCCGCCTATCGCCGAATCTGCTCTCCATCCTGGAAGCAAAACAGTCCACGTGAATGTTTATATGTTGTTCGTAATTTTGCCGGTCCGCACTGTACGCGTCGGGGCGCAATAATCTCCCGGTCGGAGTCAGTCCGCGAACGGGAGAGGAAATTCAATCAACTGAATCGTTGGTAGAGAGAAGCACTTTATTTTACAGTTTCGGATTATCGCGCTTGACGTGTCACTCTCGTGGCTTCTGAAGGCTCACTAAATTCCTGGCCGCGACCGAGGAACGGTTTCCGCGCGTGAAACGCGTGATCGAAGCGTGATCGACGGCCTGTCTTCGCAGGCATGGAATGTCTTTGTCTGATTTCGTAAATATTCGATCACGCGTTCCGCACCTGCGGTGACAAGCTTCTAACACCACGTAATTCTCCAAGGACGAGAATGTTAGACAGAGACCCGAAGAATCGGTGAATAAAAGTACAAGTTATACGTTGCATGTATGCTAGGATAACTCGGCTCGCCCGAAAATCGGCCAGGAGGTAGACGTATCGCACGTCCGGCACGTCCTCGATTAACGTTAACGTCAATGATTGAAAGCCACGACATGAAATATACAATAATAAATTATATGCGAGACGAAAAAGACGAGAAAATTTCGAAGAGAAACGATAGAATTTCATCGTCGTCAGATGATTGCAGATTAATTAATTTCAATAATGGATTTGATAGAATATCTGAACGTCACGAACAGTCTACTTGCTATTTCAAAAATAAAAAAGGATTTAAATGATTTTCTTTTAGCAATAAATCTCACCTCCTGTACTACACCGCACCGCGATGTCCCTGATTTAATTAATTTCTTTGCAATCTTCTAATTCGATAACACTTTAAATTGCAACAATTAAGAAAGTAAGCTGAAGATATATAATTATCGCGAGACTCAAGAAGCAAATTAGGAATTATTGGTGGCGAAATAAATGTTACTTATTCGGTCAAATTAGGAATGTTCTACCGAAGTAAAAAAAGCGAGGTAGAATAAATTTATTTCACGTCCGAATTTTGTACATAAATTATTTGAACTAAATTGGCGTGTTAAGTTAAGTGGTTTATCTGTTCGAATAGTATTGACGCTGTTTCTTTTTTTAACAGGTTTATTAACTTGTGGTCAAGAAAAATGTCAAAATTTTTTAAGGTTTAATCTATACAATAGGTGTAGTAATCCTTAAGTCCTAAGAAATTAACCAATCGTAGTTAATTATTTTCCTCACATTCGATTGTGATTGATCAATTTCTCACAGCAGATCTTAATGGAACACTTAATAAAGTTGTAGGTAGTATTTCATTGTCGGATCTTTTATATTTAAGACCGGCTGGAGTATAATCTTAAGAGAAAGAGATGTTATAAACTAATCACTCGATTGTTAGATATAACAGAGCCGTATTATCAACCTTAAGCCATTGTCTTGAAATAAGATCCGACTATGTATACTAGCCTTAATTTTACTCATTAATTCTTCCTTTGGAATAACGATTGCTTGTTCGTTGCTTAGCAAGGAAGATTTTACAGAAAAATATATTGCTCTTTTTCTTACCTATATAACAGGAGATGAGGTAATATGCGAAATCGAAATATATACGCAAGCCGTCCGCGACTTCTCTGCTTATATTTACTTCGTTTACTGTTTTCTCTATGGTATTATTCACTTTATTCCGTTATTGAGGTTTCTTTGTTCGTAATATTCTCGGTTCGGAATATTCGTAAACTGCGTCGTAGTAAAATGCTATGCCAAAGATTCCGGAATATTTATCACAGTAGGTTGCGCCGGAACTATGTACAAGCTGAAATAAATATCAATGATATATTTGTATACCTACTATTTGTTTTCAGGGAAAGATTAGTTTTTAATATAAATTACAATTAATGCGAATCAATGAGAATGACACCGGCGGCTTTTCCGCCTCTCTGTATATGAACTGGACGACAAATCTGACAAATAAATTGAAAATAGTTTAAGCACGTTTTCCGTGTTGATAAACTATTACGTAATGCGTTCCACATATTCTACGTCTCACCCCCACTCTCCGGCAGCTAAACGATATACAGTTTTTCGCTTTTTTTAGCGATACCTAACAAACGTTTTACTTAGTATATATTCGGAACTAACAAACGATTCCGCATCGATTGACCACGGTTTGAATCGAAAATTGTAAGAATTTTATATTTACTGGCTAAATTAACACTAAAAATTATTTTCGTGATTACGTAAAAACTATTAACTAACAAACGTTCTAATTAGTCTAACAATCAATAACAAACGACTAACAATTGATTCGTAAAAAAAAATGTCGTAAGTCAAAATTGTCCGGCTAACTTCTATGAGATGCCATGATAGCGCTAGCGAATGCAAGCGAATGCGAGCTCCATGAACAGCAGTAGTGTACTATAGCGTAGCGTTTCGTAGACCTCGGCGCCACCAAATTTGAAAACCTGAGTTAATAAATGCTGCTGTATCAATTATTTCTTTAATATTTTCAAGAGTAGTATGTGTGTAAATGAATACGATTCATATTCGTAGTAAAACAATTTAAAGAAACTATTTTACAAAATATAAAAAAGCGATTTCCAATTCATGAAACTCATATGTTCGCGGAGCATTTCTGGATCCGACTCTTCAAAGTGTTAGAGGTACATTGCTGAATATCTCGCAGACAAGCAGCAATCTCCTAAGGAATTTTTAATATATATGATCCACAAAATGATGATTCCCCTGAACATAAAAAATGAGCAGGTTAGATTATTTTTGACATTGTGTTCGAGATCCGTCGAACTTTCCTACACGAAACATCGGCTCGAAAACATTATTATATTTAACATCGAGAAATACCGATGTTTATGTTGTTCAAGCTCTGTCGAACTTGTGCGAAATATACGTTCCCCGCGATCCCCGCGCCCTCGAAGCCCATCGATCGCGATCACGCGTTACGAGAGTGCTCCCTTATTTGTCGGAGCACGGAAACGGCTGTTTTGACGCGTGATGTGACCATACGGACGAATAGCGATTCAGCTCTCATCGCGCGTTCGTTCCTGAAAAACAACCCTTGTGAGTAAACGACGAATTCGCTCGCCGGACAGTCAGTCGTTGCTGAGGATTCCTAGCCTCAAGTCGTGAGCTAGAACTCATAACCAAAAATCGTAGCGTATCAATCCTCGTCTAAAGACAGCACGGCTCTCTCCCTCTCAAATCGCTACGTGAATCGCTACTCGTTCGTTTCGTCTTAACGTGCGGATCAAAGTTATTTATAATTAAGTGTGCTACTTAGCGAGGGGTCCGAAAACTTCCGGTCGTGCTCCGCTCGCGATCGTTCTTCTGCCGCGCGTTCAAGATTTCCGTTCGACGCGTACAAGATCTCCGCTACGCGAGAGGCTTCGATGCAGGAAGCTGAGACAAGATTTCCGTTCGCGATATCTGGCAGAAAAGTACGAACGACTCAGAAGATTTCCGAATCCGCGGCGCACGATCCGTTGTTCCCCCTCGCGTCTTTTTCGTTCTTGAAATAAAGACTATATATTTCTTTGTGCAATCTGTGTTCCGAGTGTTTTCATCCTCCTTCCTCCCGCGAATTTACGACTCGCGGTATCCACGCTTCTCGCTCAACTCTGAGCGGAATCCAGATTCAGGGCGACCGTCGTAAAGCGACGCCCGAACACATTGTTTTTATATAAAATAAGAAATATAATTAAATATATTTTTTAATAATATATCTATATTCGGTTCCATTTGATTATATGCTATATAAAATTAATTTATACTTTTAATACAATTAAAAAATTAGTGTATATGAATTTTGTCCATTAAGCTATATATGACTTTTATTATGGTTTTTATAAACTATATATCTTAGCAATATCTAGCATTACCTTAGTCTAGGTAATTTACAGTATCTAGATTTACAAAATCTAGGCTTAATATTGTAATTAAGCCTAGTATATATAAGTCTTACATATAGTTTATATTTGCAACAGCTTCTATATTAATCACCAAATATAAGATTATTTTTATAATATACAGGGTGTCCGAAAAATCGCCTACTCCACTTCGGGAGGTGATTTGGGACCCAAAAACAAGCAAAAAAGTTCATACAAACATAGGTCCGGAAATGAGCCGTTTCCGAGTTATAGCCATTTTTATGTTCAAAAATCGTAATTTAGAATCCGCTTGGCATCCCTCTTTCTTAATTATTTCTTAAATTAAAAATTTTTATTTTTAAATATTTTTAATTTTTTTAATTTTAATTTTTTTATTTTTTTTCAATTTTTTAATATTTGTAAATACGATTACATTATTTTTAAAAGAAATCAGTTGTTTTCACGGCTACTTGAAATTAGTTGTTTTCACGGCTATTCAAAATCAGTTGTTTTCACGGCTACTTGAAATCAGTTGTTTTCACGCCTATTCAAAATCAGTAAGTAAATCACGGCTTTTCAATAAGTTTCAAATTATTATTTAACAACACCTTACTTTTAGGTTGTATCTAATCTTTCCGTATTCATCAATGGATCGTTTAAGTTTTAATGAATTAGCTGATATGCATCTTATGTATGGTCTTGCTCAAAGTAATGCTGCCGAGGCAAGAAGATTAGACATCCAGTCTTTTCCAAATCGAGATGTACCGGGAATAGCGTCTTTTCGAAATGTAGACAAAAACTTGAGAGAATTTGGTAATTGTAATTAAAAAAAATTAAAAATAAAAATTTACGATTTTTGAACATAAAAGTGGCTATAACTCGGAAACGGCTCATTTCCGGACCTATGTTTGTATGAACTTTTTTGCTTGTTTTTGGGTCCCGAATCACCTCCCGAAGTAGAGTAGGCGATTTTTCGGACACCCTGTATATAAGTTAAATTCTCATGTTTAGTTTTACTTTTTCATAATAGCAGATTATTTTAATAAGTCATGTGAGCTTCTTGGAGTTAAAAAATTACGATTGGATTTGGCTGCGAAACATACAATAAGCATTATTCCTCCTGAAGATCCCATTCTTGTCGAAGTTATAAAAAGTTAAAAAATATTTACATATGTCAGAATCTATTATCGAAGATCCTCTACAATGGTGGAATAAATTAAATGAAGTTGTCACTGCCGAATTTGTACAAATTGGTATGCTGCATTTATGCCATACCGCTATTACAAGTTCAGCATCTGAATGCGCGTTTTCTTCTGCAGGTTTGCTTATCACAGCAAAACGTTTTTCGTTAAAACCATCAAAATCTAATAAAATGTTATTTTATTTACGGTAATTTCAAATTAATAAAAGATATGTATTTAAAGTCAGTAAAATAAGTTTTACATTAAGTATATTACTCATATTTATTTATACAACTTAATATGTGAAAAAATATTTAATAAGTAAGAGAGAAAGAAGTCTGATAAAAGATAAGATAAAGAATTTTACTTTATATACCCCAAGGGGCCTTAAAGGGCGTTTTGAAGAGACGTACCCAACCCTAACCTCCAATTCATCCTACTACCTTACTGTTTCCTACTTTCCTACTTTCCTACTTTGGACCAACGGTTTAACGTCTCTTCCGAAAGACGGAGCCCAGTTTTCTCCGCATCTGCACGGAGGGGCGCGGTTTTTTCGGAAAAAACTTTTCCATGATTCATGGCTCTAGTGGACTCGAACCTGGTTCCTCAGATTACGAGTCTGGCGCTCTACCACTAGACCACACCGCCGCCCTAGAAAGAAGTCTGATATCTGATGGTTAAAAGAAGGGTTATATACAGTGAATTTTAAGATAAATTTTATTTTTTTTGTGAAAGAAACCCAGTAAGCAAAAAATCATTATTACAATGTTATTGCAACGATATTCTAGAACTTGTAATGTTGTTAAGTATGTAGTTCTTAATGTTGTATAAAACATCATTATGAATATACTTTGACCACGATTCCGAAATTTCAGTAATGTTGAAATGGGAGTGCCATAACGTTGCAAATAACATTTTGCTAAGGTTTTTCTATCATTCCTGTAACGTTTTTGAGATAAAAATTTAAACGAACTATCAACTTTATTACAATATTATATTAAGATTACCGTAATATTAATTCTAACGTTTATTTAAAGTTATTATTGATATTTTATTTTTATTTCAAGGAGTATGTATTTATTTTCAATAAAATGCACTACACTAATTACCATAAAAAAGTAGTTTTATTTATATGAACAAATATATACATATACATATACATATATAGGTTTTATTATGAGATTTATTTCGTGTGCCAATTATTTCTGCAAATTATCTCTGCCAATTATCTCAGAAAGTATTAATTCTAGGAAGGGATCCTAGGAAGGGATTTTTGAAGTCAACCTTCGGATAAGGGAAATTAAGGTGCCTTCTAACTCTTTTTTAGGCAATGCGATACAGGTGCTCTAGTTTAATATAACTCTTTTACTATTTTTTTCCAAACTCTTATTCTTTCCTTTTAAACAGATTATTAATCTTTCCGGATCTTTACCAAACAGTTGCTGAAAAATAAGAATTTCTCATTCAACTTCAGAAA